AAAAAAAAAAAAAAAAAAAAAAAAAGAAAATAAAACAACTTTGGCTAAGTTCTTGTACTTTTCAAAAGACACGCTCCTTAATTTTGTTAATCCAATTAAAATGAAAATTGCGCTTACAGATATCTTTTAGATTTGAAATAATAACTTGAGAATTAAGACTCTATAAAAGACACTGCATGGTATTAATTCCTTTTTTATTGTCCTTTTATAACATAGTGCACAATAAATAATGTTATGTATATATATATATAATATTATATAATATATATATATATAATTTTATATATATATATATATAATCCATCTGTCAGAGTAATTGATCTCTAAAAAAAGAAGACAGATTAGTTATATCATAAATAGTGTTGCATATAAATAAATACGTTCACAGTGAAAGGACAGCGATAGCTGAATAATATTAATGAACTTACGCTAAACACCTTTCTCGTCGATGTTGCATCGATTAAGTAGTAATTTGATAATGTTAAAAGATAGCGATATAACAGTGAAGAGTTTCTCACGAAATGGTAGTACTATTTCTCATGAAATAGTAGGATATTAATAAATAGACAATAAGTATCGACAATATGTCATAGGCATGTGTATACGACTGAGAAAAGTCATTTTTTAAGTTGAATACGTGTATGTATAATAACATTTGGTACTCCTCGTAATACTTCTCATTAATTTCTTAATACGCATCACAGATATGTCGTTGTTTATAGAAAACAAAAACATACAAGTAATAGTGTAAACACAACTTATTCCCATTAATCTCTAATGTAGGCAACTCGAGATACCATAGTTTCGAAATATATTCAATCAATCCAATTTTAGATTTTAAGCTTTCACGATGGTTCACGATGCACGTCGTGCCTCTCGCTTTACAGAGTCAATCGCGTTATCCCTTGGAAAAGCGAACCATAATGTTCGCGAAACGTCAACGCGAAACTGCGACAGATAACGCGGTTAATCCTTGAAAAGCCAAAAGTCGACATCGATCGGATCTGTCCGTGTTACAGAACTGCAAGTAATCGACTGGACATCGTTATAAAAAATGCTTGCGTGCGCGTGCACGCGTGAAACGAGGAAGAAAATGCTTTTGTACAAGTCACTTGGTTCGCTACTATCGAATAAAAGGATAATTTCAACTCTGTAAGATCTATTTTCCTAAATTATGTATCTGTATATAGTTTAGGCTGTTGGCAGAACATTGAAATCGATTCAAGAAGACACTTCATACGTCGATTGGTAAATTTTGTCTACCTGGATTTCGATTCTTTTTCTTGCAAATCATTAATCGCGCTAAGGTCAGTCAGCGTCAACGCTGATCGTTATTTGATTACGCGGACGATCGAACAGGAATAAACGCGTTGAAACAAATTCGATTTCAAGTTCTGTCGCTTACTCTCCGCGAATTTAATATTACGGAGGTGAATTTTTACATTCGGCGCTCAACAACGTCAATGGAGGTGTATCGTATAATTATATAACATTGCTAGCTACGATATAGTAAACACGATACAACATGGGAATCGGCAATCACAAAAATATAATTAACATACCGAAGCACCGCCGTGTGCAACCTCGAGGCTGAACTATAATCGTAACACCAACAATTTTTATTTAACAATTACGACGAACTCTTATGCAAAGTTATACAGTAAACATTAAACGGGGAATTGTGCGTACCGTGTGATACAATGTTACAAGTGCTAATGCGTTAGTTTCTTTTCCCCAATCAGCGAACATTAGCGTTCGATCGTTTGAACGATGTCAATCTAGTTCAAAAGTAGTATAAAAAGAAAATTTTAATCTTTCTAAGATTTTTATGGCTTTAAAATACATAGTTTGTTGCAACAGTAATTAAATAAAAAACATAAAATTAATTTTACTACAACCATATATAAATTTATAAAAGAACGAACACCATGAACAATACATTTATTAGCTGATATAATCTACTTGACATGATTTACTTAAAATTCGGTACATTTAGCGCGTGGTAGTGTTTTTGCATAAAAAATTCATCCAACTTTTCATGATGTTAAAAATTTAGACAAAAATAAGCTTTCGTCAAACATTTACAAGAAATGTAAGGTTTGTCCGTTCCAGAAATGTTTTTCGTTGAACACATTTAGAGAATCCAGAGTCCATGAGAACGCAGACTAAAAATCTTTGAATATTTCCTATTCGCCATTCCATCACTTCAAAAAATCGAAAATAATTCCCATTATGTTATATTTCCGTTAACAAAATATTTCGTACGTATAAAAGCGATGAAAACTTATGATACTACTAAAGCCTAATACTAAACTCTTGTTTCCAGAAAATAAGATATGTTAGGTTTATAGTAAACCTTTAAAAATCATCGTTACAATAGTATATAATAATGCAGTGATTGATTACTTTTAGACGTTTCATAAATATCTAGTTTAATTTGCCGACTTCTTACTTTTATTCCAGAACAAGAGTCGACATATCCTTCGATCAACAAATTTATATTAATACAAAAACACATACACACCTTAAAAATATATATAACATGGAATTCTTGCGAATATAGCTACTAATTAAAAACGTTAACTACATTTATTTTTCTATTTAAACTTCTTACGGAGTCTCCGTATCTGCCTTATTCTTGCGTTGAGATAATCGTAACTGGTTTGTCACCAACTATTTTAACGTGTTTATTAGTCATAGAACTTCAACTAGTTATAACGTTGAAACAGGATTAAGAATTTTATTTAAAATAAATTATTCTTCAAATGTATTGTTTGGCACTAGGAAGCAAAGTTCCAAAGAATAAAACGAAAATAATGACAGAAATTTCGTTACTATATCTGTTTCTTTTTATTTTTGAATTCTTAATCCAGTCTCGATTGAATCCTGAATGCCGAGGTTGTTTTTATATATACGCCCATAATATATGGTATACATATATGTAAAAGAACCTCAATCGCATCACAAACGTCAGCTGAACGAAAGCATGCTTTTATTTAACTATGTGGAATGTGCTGCTAGATTTCTAATCAACTACTAATACACAGAATCTTAACATTATCGAGTAAGATATTTCATACGTCCTTAAAACACAGCTAAAGGAATTTGCAGTTTCGTACTTAATCAATTTCATAACTAATAAAACTGCGAGCACCACAGGACTACAATAAACCATTCATAGATCCGTTGTAGAACTTCAGCACATCGTGTACAAAATTTGTCAAGATTTACATGATATTTTCGTAATTAAAACGTAAAGTTCTCTTGGTCGATAAATGTTAAACTTCTTCATATGTCTTCGCATATAATTATAATCGCAGTCTGAAATAAAACTTTCAGAAAATACACAGACAATAGATATGTGGCCAAGTGTGGTCATTACGAACGTACATGATGTACTTTGGTAATTATTTTTTTAAATACCTTGCTGCTTTGTACTTGGATCACAGCACCATAATGTGCAGCGAAACTGATGAGGTTTGTGACTCTTTGAGCTTTTATTTCGTAACTATCGTGAAACTTAAGTGCAACTTACAAATTTTACGTTAAATACTACAACGACACATAGGTACGCAGTGTTAGAAACTTAGAAAATGACGTAATACCAAAAAAACACATTAAGAAACTTTTTACGACGCTGAAGTAACAGCGTAATATGTGAAATAACGGTTCGTTTTATACTTCAAATTTCATTAATAACTCGACATTGATAATTAAATACACAAGATTTACAAAAGTATGTTCACAACGTATATGGTAATCGAGATTTTACTTTTCTATGTAAACTCTTTCCAAGAAATACTTTGTACGTAAAATCTACACACAAAAAAGAATTAAATAATAGTTTAATTCATAAAAAAAATAAGAAGGAACATCTTTCTTCCTTTTTTTCCTTACTAACAATAATATTTGTGACTTGAATGTATATAAAGAAGTGAAACGACGCCCGATCAATAAGCTAATCGTTGGTAGAATCAACTAATGCGTGCTTTTTCATTGTATTTTAACAGTACATTCATCTGTTAACAGACTCCATAACAGATTTTCGTGGCAATTCCTTTAGTCTCGGGCCGTCTCGAATTTAATCGTAGTTTTCAGATTCCTGTTGCACCAGTTTGAACCGGCGCGGGCTTTTCACACACATTGATCCGTGGCCATCTAAGGAGAGGCGGCCTTTTCGTTGAAGATATCTCGTTATATAGCGTGCGACTAATTGTTGCGGTCTTATTTGCCATTCATTCAGGACTTCTTTCGGTGCCAGAACCTACATAGACAATGGTCAATTTAGTACAAACGATCAATAACAGATCCTAACGCTGAAACTACCAGCATATGTATATCGCGTCGACCAATTCGTAATTTTTCATGGAAATTTTATAAATCTCCAACGATGCATTCTAAGTATAAAAATGATGAAAATCTACCTGATCGCCTTTGAATCGATCTAGCAATGTTACGCAGACGACAGCAGACTTAATGCCCGCTAGATGTGTGAGTGCTCCAAACGATAAACTCTCCATCTCTATATTCACTACGCCAGCTTTGTGCAACTTGTTCAAGTAATCCATCTTATCGTTCTCCGTGAATTCACAGAATGCACCGTCCATACGCCCCTGTCCTTCGTAGAAGTCGTCGGTACACATTGTTTTACCGATTACGGTGTCATAAGGATCGTCACGGTGTGCTAGGGCCTTTAGATCGCGAGCTAGTTGTCGATCTAACTTAGCAGGCCTCCTCACCACTTTGCCAAGCACAGGCTAAAAACAAAAATAAAAAGGAACAGTCAGAGGTGGACGCAACTTTATAAAAAAGTAGATTTCCTACTCGTTTGAACGATCAAGCAACTTTTAACGTAATCGTTAATGAAATTAGTTGCTATTTGAAATTTTGCTATTAGCTGTTAATTAGTCGTTGATGGAATTATAGATCATTTTTAATAGCCATCTATTCTTTGGAAAAGATCGGAAGTTTGAACAACGCGTTTCGACCAAGACACGGCGAGTCATTCACTTGATCGAAGCGTGAGGATTGCAAAGCTAAGAACAGGGGAAAAGAAAGCAAGAACTATCGGAATGGCCAGATGCCGGATTCCACAAGAATTTCTTACCACTTCCAAGTACGACTTCAGCATTCCATCGACCGCTTCCTCGGAAATTACCACGGTGCCGCCTTCAAGGCCGATCCCACCACAAGTACCAATCCTGAAGAATATCGGATCCTTCACCTTCGCGTGGTACATCAGCTTGATCATTTCGTGAAGCAAAATTCCAACCGACGGCATGCCCATTCCATGCTAAACAGAAAATTTCCTATATTCCTCCTATCGACGATATTCTTTTCTCTTGTGTTTATGTTCATATTTTTAAGAATCGTCGATGCCACATAGCGTTACTCAGAGTTGGAACAATTTATGGCAGGTACTTCGACCGCGTATGGTCGGTGAAAATGCGAACAAGGACGTGTAAATATCCAGCGAGGCGATATCCCATTGGTTTTCGTTGATTTTTTGATTTTAACGACAGGAAGATTTTAATACGACGCGATCGAGGACGACCGTAGGATATTTTGTAGCCTCTGACGGAGCAAATTTCTGTATGTTCCCTAGATCCTCTTTTAGACGGTCTTCTAAATTTAAAACGCTGAAAAGAATGAAAAAGTTCTGAACTTTGCCGTCCAGTCGCGATAAAGTGGCGCAACTTCTTTTCGCACCACTTGCGAGGATGAACTTCTCTATGGCTACGCAACTTCTTTTGTGTTTCTCGCGTCGTTTGACGTGTTGTCGCGTCACACGGATGATTTGCACAAAGCGTCGATAAAAAATAGTTTGCTCCACCAGCCGAGTAACTGGTGCATGGAGAAACCCACGGGAGAAGAGAAGCGTGTATGATTATCGTGGAAAGCTCGACTAGACGTTCTCCCTTCTACTGGAATCTCGATGTTGCTTTACGCTCGAACGTGTGACTTGTTGCTGACCAATGATTCCTATTACGACTTACTATTACGGTTATTCGTCGAACGAAACGCATATGTCGTATCTAGTTTGGAATTTTTAGCATTGAAATTTCTAACTACTCGTTTTTTATTCGTGCCAATAATTAAGAAGCTTCCCTGAGAAAAGCACTCTTAAAATAAAGCGGTGAACCGAGTAAACGTTTCGGTTCTAGTTTTTTAATATTAGCTACGTTTGCATTGATAATTGTAATCAGTCTTAGAGAATTTTCTTCTTTTTCTTATTTGCGGGATGGATAAAAATTTCACAACAATTCAACCATTTGATTAGCAAGTATAATACTCACGCAACTATTATTTGCCAAAGGCTCCTTCTCAGAAATCTCCTTACAGACTTTCGACAGAGTGAGTTAATTAAGGAGTCAATTAGCTCAGCTACGATCTCTGAATTATTACGCTCTGACGTGTACTTTGTTTTAACAAGTAAGAATGTACTTTTATGTTTTAAGGAAAACTTTAATATGAAGTCGAAACGAGAAATAAGACATATTAATATCTTCTCTGTTCTGTTAAGAATAACAGAAAGCACAATTAGATTGAGAGTAACTGAAATAACGTAGCCGGATAAAGTTTATAAAGTTCACAAAGTATCAAATTTAATTACAAATTATTGCAGTGTTCTTTCTTATTTTGCGTTAAACAGGAAAGGGGCTTGTTCTCTTCAAGCAATTTACTTCAAAGTTAAAACTATCCAATTTCGATTAATTCGCTTTTAAAGCATCGTTGAAAACAGATACTGTTATCGCAATTATGCAAAGCTTATGCCTCGTTTATAATTAGAATGTGATTTAAAGCTAAAACTGTACACTTTCTCTAATATAAAACCTGAAAAGAAATGGCTCCTTTGAAGAAAGTAATTGGATGGAGCAGATAAAACGAAGTAAAAAATGTTGTATCGATTATTATCGAAGATATATATCTAATTAAGCAGAAATACTGCTTATCAATTTATTTAAACATGCAAAATTGAGGATTTAGTGGAATCGTGATACTCCACAAAAGTAAAAAGAGTAATATCGTAGATGCGTTACAATAAGTGAGGCCATTGGGACAAGAAATTTAATTAATGAAATATTTCTTTATATTACCAAGGTCATAAAATATTTTTTGTTTTATCTCGCTTCTAGCACTTTTCAACAATATATACATATATACATACACATCAATCGTGTAACATCTGAATATATTAATATCAGAAAATTAAATTGAAATAAAATATTCTGCATTGTTTTCAGAATAATTTTGAACACATCACTGGCCAAATTATTAATTATGCAACTATATTAATATCGTAAACTTGAGCAAAAGCACAGAATTCTGTACTATTTGGGAAATAATTTTTAACATGTTATGTTAACATGTAACATGTTAACATTCTATGTACTTCATTTAATTTTGTTATGTCCCAATTATCTTTTGAAAAGTGATTTAATTTGTATTTTCCACAAAGTGAGATATATTCCAGGTAATTAAAAATCAGGCAATTCTGGCATTTATCTCACGATAAATGTTGCTATTTACTGCATCAATTGGATAAATTTGTTCGAAAGTAGCTGCCTTCCAGCCTATAGAAAATAATCTTCAACATTCGTTGCTCAACGTTCTCTCATTATTTTATCACAAACTGGTCGTATGCATGTTCTATCTAATCTTGGACATACAATTCTGATTAAATCGAATCCAAGTTAACCGCGAGCAAATAGGGTGAAGGCATACTTCATTCAGTTTCAATAAGCTTTTCAATTTCACCTACGTCCTGTTCTGCCCTCGAGAGACGCTGAAGCGTTCCAATTTAATTAAATTCGGATCGCACGATTCTGTAAATACCCAGTTTTAACAGATCTTAACAATTCTTGATTTACGTTGTTTACTGTAACTCACGATGCAAAGACGATATTTAAACCTGAAAAACGTGATTTGAAGTAAAAATAAAAAATAACGTACGATAAGGCGTGACGTATTTCCAGCGATTTGCTATCTTCATTAATTATTCATAAATTACTTGTAAGCGAATATTTGCTTCGCCTAATAAATATTATAACAAATATTCTACTTTAAATATTCTACTATATTTTATGTATCTGTTATTATGTATATGTATTATTTTACAATGTATATTAATACATATTTGCAGCTTAAAATTCCCCACAAATACATGAAAATCCGTAGTCTCGTGAATATGAAACATTCCTAAAGGAATAATTTTCGAAAAATAAACGTAATGTAAAGTATACTCACGCTAATAGAAAGGACTGGTCCGACTTTATACATAGAGTAACGATATGAATACTGGCTAATATCAAGAAGTGTCGTGCCTGCCGGAAGCTTGTGACCTATTTCCTTCATTATGAAGTGAGCAAAATCTTCCATACGCTTTGGTGTTCCTCCCATGCACACGAACTGTAAACAGAGTTATAGAATTAATTACATAATTGAAGAACGCTAATTGAATACATTGCAAGTGGCAGGAGACAAGCTTTTCAGAAGGAAAAGGAATCTTCTGCATTGACACGATCCAATTTCATGAAGAGGAAAAGTGTATCTGTATAAAAGCCTGTATGCGCCACTTCTTAGTTGTAAAGAAAGCACGATGTTCCATTAGAAAAGTAAAAAGGCCATTAACCAATGTCTATTAGCAGCTATATCATTTTCTATAGAGGTGAAGCTGTTACACTATCTTTCAGCGTTGTTAATAACTATTTAGAAAGGGAAATTGCACTGAAATTATTTAAAAAATAAAATTTAAGTTAAATACTACGGCATTCTCATTGGTACGTAGAATTTTCCAACAGAGAATCAAAATTTCTCAATTTTGCCACGTACAGTGCTTTCTACGAACATTCTTTAATCGCATCTATCCAGTTTAATATTTTAAGTGCGTTATCCACAGATAAATCTGTTGTAGTGGTTCCAATTCTCTCCCTTCATTCATCTAAACTGTATTTATTGAAACATAGTTAATGCCCGTTTAACTGAATCCACTAATTTGAATTCATATATTATCATAATATTATCATAATATTAATTCATATTATTCGAATGGGAAGTGATAAATAGAAAGAATCAACGAACTTTTATTATGTCTGCTCCCTATCAAGTTCAAATAAATGGAATTCTATTGTACTGTATCGTGTTTTATAGCCGTGAGGTATGGAGAAATATTTCCCTCTTATAGTATCCCACGATAATGCTCTTTCTCGTGTCATATTCAATTAAAAATATGTAGCATTTCTGCTTCCACGATGCTTTCATCTGAACTTCAGGCTATGTGTAGTCAGTTCTAAAGAGTTTTATTTTTAATGAAAGAAACTTAGGTGCTTCACGTAGATTATGGACTTCAAATATCCTATACAAACGTTCATTTTCTACCATAAATTTTAACACATTAACGTATCAGGTATTACAAGTAACAAAAATTAATCTTTTAACGATTAATTTACTTTGCTCGCCGACGCTCCAAACTAAACATACAGAATAAAATTACCCTCTACAAGACCGTAATAAAACCTGTCTGGACCTACGGAATCCAACTATGGGGAACAGCTAGTAACTCCAACATCGAAATACTACAAAGATTCCAATCGAAAACGCTAAGAGCCTTAATAGACGCACCCTGGTATGTTACCAACGAAACCATCCATCGCGACCTCAAGATACCAACAGTCAAAGAGGAAATAGCGAAATATAGCGACAGATATAGCAAAAGAGTCAACAAACACCGAAACCCCCTAATCACTGGACTACTCGATACGACGGACCAGATTCGCAGGCTGAAGAGGCCGCTAGACCTAAACGTTAGATTCACTTAATTATCCAAATTAAGCATATGCACTTACCTATAACACTAATAAATTATACCTATCTATAATAAGTATAATTTATTGTAAATAAACAGCCATGTCACTGCGCCACGCCAGAAAAATTACTGAAAATTCTCAACGCGAGAATTGATTGTAATTTCAA